AAATATAATAGAGCTATCTGCTGTTTTAACTCAACGGAGCAGACGAAAGTACCTTTATTTAATCATAAGTTTTCACTCTTGCAAATGTGTTACAGTTGAGTATGTTTTGTCTGTTTGTAGACCTATGCTAAATGGTGCTAAGAAGCAATTTACCGAAACAGAAATTCACTGAATACCTTAATATCTCACTCAGAAGGTCACACAAACAAGTTCACTTCAGTCTTTCAGTCTTTCGCGCTTCCCATTTACATCAGTCTCCTGTATTTCCTCCTCTCTAGATGCCAGGTATCCCTGCCATGCCCCCAATGCCTATGCCCCCCATGCCTCCCGGTATGGGTATGATCCCAGCTATGAGCATGATTCCTAGCGGGCCCCCTCCACCCGGTATACACATGGGCATGGACCACTCTGGTTTGCCACCACCTGGCCTCACACAGGATGATCAGCTGAAGATGGCTCAGCATAGAGCAGCCATGGTGTTACAGCAAGAGGAGAGAGCCAAGCAGGTGAGGACAGCTGGACCTAAAGTTTACTGTTTCACTCATTTTTGCCATTTTTCTTTGCATTCAAAACGCAGAGTTCAGGGCTCTAGACTAACTTTTTGCCAAGGTTTGCACTGGTGCACCTAACTCTTTATTTGGAGCACAGTTCTACAAGAAAAATACTTTACTGAAAAAGTGCTTGTGCTTAAAGTGCTTTGGCACTCTTTGGCAATATTGTAGACAATGTTAAACTTAACCATCATCTCGGCCTCTGAGAGAGAGGGGGGCACTTGGGCAGTGCATTTATCGCTGCATAAAATGTGTTTTCTGGATACACTGTGCTTTTTCAGCGTTCAGAGATTGATGGCTCTGTGTCAGAGCACTGGCTATGAATTTTAGATGGATCAGGCCTTAACTTAGAGAAAAAATAATCAATAGTTCTTTTCATCTTTTGTCATTACCCACAGCTACAGCTTCTGTCGGGCCTAGGCTACTCACTAGGGCTGGGCATCATCACTTTTTTCTACAATCCATTCGATTGTGATTCACAAGGTGCTGATTCAATTCGAGTCAATTTTGCCTCAGACAGTCAGAAATATTATAATTCTGATCATTTATCAGTACTGACACTTGTGAGACTTCATCAGAGGGGTAAGCATCACAGCAGATGCCTTTGTGTCAAAGTAACTGAGAATAAAACTCAGAAAAACATGAAGGAGATTTTCCTGGCCTGGCTTTTTATAGCAGATAACCTTAAAATATTCTGTCATTTTGTATAGTTTTAAAAAGTTTAAATTTCTTCAGTATTGAACAGCAGAAATCAGGCTTTCTTGTCTGAGGTCATTTAAGTTAAAAAAGAAAGAAAAGGCAGCGTCCGATAGCACTGTAAACAACAGGGATTTTATTGTGGTGGAAGCAAAACGGCAAACGTGAGAGAAGATTACTGATGACATTTATCAAATGTGAAGTGTAGTTTGGATCTTCTTTTGCTGCTGGTTCAGTGAATTTGGGTTGGAGAAAGACAAAATCTGCAGCTCAGAATCGAACGCAAAAAAGACGTAAACACAAAGTGCCAAATCGCAGACGCATCAGAATCAGTGAGCTGTCTGCTTTCAGCCCCGACGGCGTGTATGTGTCGTC